GTAATATTACCCTGGTGGCAAAATAGCATTAGTGTGATGCACAGTGCAAGACGAAGAGTGGAAAAGTTTAATGGATATTTGTGCAAATTAGGCTCCATGTCAACACAGTGAGTCAAACATAGAGTCAAGAAGAATCTCAAGTGTGGTGGAGGATTTCGCAAAATAGGATAAGATCTGCAAGGGGGTGTGACTAGGGAGGGCTGTAGTGTTGTGTCGTTCGTGAACAATTCGTTAAAAAGAACCAAATCTTTTAAGTGAACGTACTGAACAAAATCATCTCCTCGAGTGATTCATTCATTTCTCACTTCAGTTGAGCTGAAGTGAGAGACAGTGTTGCCAGGCCAGCAGCCGGCAAACGAGGATCCACATGCACCGATGCCCGAATCACTCTGTGAACGAATCACACATTGAACTGCACTCTTTGGAGTCATTTTTGTCGGACAAAACTACCTTTTTTTTTCTTTTCACTGCTAAATTTCCACCACAACAACTTGCATACAATAGGACACAGCATGTAACAAGTACAGTGTGAATTCTTCTAAACGTTAAGTGAACGAATCACTCACTGAGCCCAATTTACCAAGCAGACCTGATAAATAGCATACCATAGGACAGTACACTTAAAACATCATGACTGCCAAAGCAACACAGCCAAACACTCTCGTCTCCTGGTCCCAGAAACTATGACTTGAACTGAATCCTCAAACGTTCAGCTGTATCAGTTCAGGAGGTCAGGGTCGCAGGCCTCTCCCGCCAAGCGTTAAGCGATTTGGTGATTTGGTGAACGGATGTTTTTAGTGAACTGATTCTAGTGATTCAGTAAATCTGAAAGAACTGCCGTGCCCATCACTAGAGGGCTGGTTTGGCCTCACAAATGCATCAATATAAAAGAGGCTGATTCACTCCCAGTAACAGAGAGTCACTTATTTCATAGATTCTGTACCAAAATGTCAATGCCGTCCCAATAAAGGATCATTGCACTGATAAAAACTCTGATTTTGCAGGAGGGAAAGGTTTCCCTTTTTCGTATTTTTTTCCCTGTATTTTTCACCAAATAATTTCAATAGCTGGCACAGCAGTCAGGCCTGTTTCACACCTGGACTCTTCTCACTACAGAGCCATGCTGTTGCTATAGGAGCAGTACACAGCAGCTCAGCATATGTAAGGTGTTCCCTGAAAAAAAGCATCATCTGTATGGTAGCATATGTTGCTCCAAAACCTTTATCTTGCATATGTTGTTAAGCATTAATGGTGTCTTCACAGATGTGTGGCTTTTCATTACATGGTGAGTTATGCATCCTCACACCACCATGGATGCGGGCTTTCTAACTCATATTTGAGGCTGCAGAGATAAACTGTCTTCACACGCAGTGGTCTTGAGAGGGGATTTTGAACCCATGCGGTGATTTCCACTACAGAGTCATGTCAGTGCTTAATGCTAAATGAGAGTATCAAGTATGTCACTCATTTTTCAGACCCCCACAGGTCCCCACATAGACAGAAAAACCACTCACACACCATGTGTAGCCTGTTGTGAAACACTGATCTGTGTACAATAACTCGCAACAAATCATTCAAGTCCACTTAAAGTCCCACTCTGATCATTCTTCAACTACTTAAAGCGTTCTCAGTGGTCTTTAAGTTGTCATTATGACATTTTTAGCCCAAATCTTTAGAGACATGATGAAAGTTAATATCAAATCAGCTAATGCACGCTCTAGTTCTGCGATCATCCTCTCTACTTTTCCAAGTGTGGGGACTGCGGGGTGGAGCTTGGATTTGCTACGTAGGAAATCCCACTGTGTCTGAGCCTGTCGTTCGGGTCTGCCAAAGATTCACAGCGGTTTGAATGCAGAAATACCCAGAAATGCAATTTCCTGTAAAAATGTCCTGTAGCATCAGAAAAATGCTGTATGAACATGTAGACATCAAAAGAAAAACGTGATAGTATCAATACTGATACGGTGTAACTACTTACTCACGCAGTCTCTTACAGATTGGTAAACCTCACTGCATCAGAGAGACAAAGCCTCTTCAGCCTTTTTGTACGCAGTCGTGTTACTGACCTGTTGCAAGTTAACCCCATTACTTGGCTGATGTTTCTCCAGGTGTTTCTTCAGCTTCACACAACTTTTTTATTGTTTCTAAACTTTTTCAGACACAAATTCAAATTCAGCACATACAGCTTATATTCCATAAAAAACATTTAAAAGGTCAGTTTGAACAGTTTGCTTAACACTCCCTAACAAACCCAGTAGTCAGTTGTTGAAACTCAAACTTAAACACGTGATATGTATTTCCTTTGTTCGGTCTAATCGTCCACAATATACAAGAGGAAGTTAAGCCATCAGAGTCATTTTGAGGATTTTTATGAATTGATCTGACATTACTGAGATAAAGAGAAAGATGCCAATGTTTTGGTGTGTTTTCTGTTATGAGAGAAAAATGATTGCAGGGGAAGATCACAGTCAGACAAATTTTGAGTGTTCAAGCTGTTTAGTTTTGTCTTGATTTTCAGAACAAATACAATTCCCGCTGGTAAAACGTGCCTTGACAGAAATTGCTCTCTCAAAAATTGGCTCTGACTTCTTTTATTTTAATAATATAAAAAAATGTTTTTCTATTTCAGCACTAAAATATCATTTTAAAATATTAAAAGGTTGCATTCATAGTTTTTCCTTCGCTGTATGAATGAAAATTTAGGTCAAAGCCTCACTCACTGATCTAGACCCTTAGTCTGGGAAATCTTTTAACCAACATGTACCATCTATCTCAAGAGGTTATTTGTCCACACTTCTTTGGAAGCAAAGTTCTGAACTTGAATGAGAAATTGTGTCAAAAGAATAATATTAAAATATTCATGTCCCTGAAAAACCTCCTGTTAGGAAATAGAAAGTGGTCCCCGCCATCATTTTTTTATTCTTTCTAAAAATGTGATTTTCTTTTTTGGGAACAGACTGATTCCTTGAGTGTCTGTGTGTGTTCACGTCACAGGACCAGGAGGAAAGTGGGTCATTTTAATCATTTGAATCTCATAAAGTAACCAGGCCAGCAGTCGAGCAGGTACATGTAGGTCAGAGTCCATCTTGGCTCCCGTGTGGTTTGTGACCGCAGCTTTCCCTCGACTGTCACTTGTGATTAATCTGCTTAATGTCCGCATGCAAATTCTCCAAATAGGCCTCCACAGTGTGACTGTACAACTAATGGGTGTCAGCGGAGACTGTTTCGCCGTGTCATGCATATGTATGAGCTTGTATATTTAGCAGCCAAGTTGCTTTTGATCACCGGGTGGAGAACGAGTGGGCTGAGATGGATGGTGGTCCAAAGCTGGGCCACATTAGCAGCTGACCACCTGCCTGTCCTACCAGGCAGAAACAACAGATGGGCCAAGCAGACTGCAACACACCGTTAACACAATGTAATGTCAGGGTGCAGATAACTGAATGCTTCATTAAGTGACGGCTGCTTCACCATAAAAAAATGCTGCTGGATGACATTCACAGGGGAGACGGAAAAGGTCATACATGATATTTCAGGCATTTATGTATATTGAACACAGTGATCAAATGCCTCATTTAGATTCCTATTAAAAAAAGTCCACAACTGTTGGGATGCCAGGGAGCTCAGAGGTCAAATCATGTGTCCCATGTGAAGAGGCTCAGATTTTTAAAGGGAGCAGCAGGAGCTGGACTCCAACCGGTGGACCTTTGCCATGTCATAACCCCGACTCCGAATCCCTGCAGAAAACTTGGAGCCTCACCTCTAAAGTCTGGATATAATTCAAACTGATCAATTTTATAAAACTGCATTACACTTTTTCCATTGATACAACTATTTGGCTGCAAACATGCATGACTGATAAAATAAAAGGTGTATATGTGTGCGGAGATCGCAGACTTACTTCGAGGGCACACCTCTAGCGGCCATTCGGGGAACTGCACCTCTTTGTTTTCGGCTTCTCCACAACTCAACGCAACTTCTGTGCCTCACAGGCTTTACACTGAACATAATGCAAAGTCACAGCAGAGCCACTCACAGTGTTTCAGCCACATCTTTGACGCTTGCGTATCCACATCCACCACATCACCAATATGAACTTCAGGTGTTACATCTACTGCAGTGTTATCAATCAATCAATCAATCAATCAATCAATCAAAGTTTACTTATATAGCGCCAGTTCATAACAGTCTTCTACAAAGACGTCCCTCTTGGTCTCCTCTGATTTTGCCCTTGTTAGCTCTCTGTCGTGTGACTTCGTACCAAGAGGAGTCAGTTAAGGTGGGTTACATATCCCACCTGGACTGGGAATGTCATAGGATGGATGGATGGATGGAACATAAACTAGGGCTGTCCCAACACGATATTGATATCAGCCGAAAAAAAAATATTGGATTATATCGGCTTGCATCTAAAATCTACGATATCAGCACTCCCATACATGCGGTCCATTCAGGACTCTGGCACCTCTAGCTAGCAGCGCTCAGATCCAGCATACAGAGCCCACGTGATCACAACAACAGTGCGTACTGAGGTACAAACAAGGATGATGTCGGCCGTGTGGTGATATTTTTCGTTAAAGTCTGAAAAAGACATTGCAGCTGAGTGCAAAACTTGTCGTGCACAAGTTTGTGCCAATATCGGATCAATATCAGTATCGGACGATACTGAAGGCTACAATATTGGGATTGTATCGGAAGTAAAAAGGTTGCATCGGGACACCCCTAACATAAACCATGACAAAGTCGACAAAGTGACCCTTAAAACCCCCTTTTGGAGCTTGCCTCTAGTGGCCATTTGAGGAACTGCAGTATCAGATACTTTATGGTCGGCTTTTCAACCTTTTTCCTGTCACGAGTATTTCATGTTTTAAAGATAATATTATCCACATAAAATACATGTACTACACTCATTCAACAAACAGTGAATAAAGTACATCTAAAAACGCCGTCATACACACCACAGCTGCTCTGTTTTTATCATGTTGTGGTTGATCTCAGATGTCCTCAACATGAGACTGTTCTCTGAAGACAAAAAAGAGACACAGCTGTTGCCGTCCTGTCAAGGACCCTTGCAGGTTGTGCTAATCACGACTCCTGCCAGTCTGAGGCCAAGGTGGAAGCAGCATAACATTGTAAAAGTGGTTCAAAGAAGAAAAAACAAGGTTGGGCTTGAAGGGTTTGGTCTGCAAAAACACTTCACTTGTTGAGCTGTTTTGCAAGGACTGTCCGACCTCGACCAGAGCTGTTATTCCGACAATGTCCCCAAACTTTGACTAATTAATTTGTGTTGAAAACTAAATCAGAACCCAGCTAAATAAATGGTAAACGAACACTGCTGTTGTTGTTGTCATTATTATTTTTAGAGGGCCCTGGCAAATATTATTATCCAATCAAACGGGACATTGAAATCAGAAAGCACACTCATTGTTTACTTCCTTTCTACTATCTGGTCCCAGTGTTGTGCAGTTGAAAGCATCCAGAAAACAGAGAGTGAGAGAGACGGAGGAAAACATGCCACAAACTCCTACTGACTGAATAAAGAGCTGGAAATAAGTGACAGCTTAGAAAACAACTCCGCTACAGCAGCCAGTTAGGAGAAGGTGTAACAGTGCTTTAAAGTCAGCTTAATTGACGCCTCCCGTCTCATTACTTTTCTTCACATTTTTAGTGTCTTTTTTCTAGTTAAATATTAAAGGGACAGTTTGGCTCTTCTGAAGTGTGGTACTCATCATTAATAAGCATTTTCTCATAGGTGACGCAAGGGTCTCATTTATAAGCATTTATCTGCACAAAACAGGGAGTGAAACTTAAAAAAGTCAAACTGTGCTCCATGCATGTCCATGTGTAGGAGGAAACAGAAATGCTAAGAGCCAGATTATTTATACACAAACACACATTTAATTCCATTAAATATGATAAACACTAAAATCTGCTTATTTTATTGGCAGATGTAACTCTCGTAGGGCTGGGCGATGTGGGAAAAAGTTAATCACGATATAAAAAATGAATTTTAACAGTGCTTATTGGTAGCATGTCTTTTGCAAAATAATAAGCTACTGCATCTGTGAGGTCTTTGTGTCTCTTAATTTGCAGTGAACATTACTCTGCTTCATGTCCGACCTCAAAAATACTAAATACCTCCACACCACTGACGTTTTCGTGTCAGTGTTGTTCACGTTGTCATCATCTGTTGAGCCTTCATCTACATTTCTGCCGAGGGTAGCACTCATTTTCTTTTTTTTTTCTCACCAACAGTGCTGTCGGCGTCACGTGTTAAAGTGCTATGGTTGCATGTAGCTGCAGCCTGCTACTACACAGTTGTTTGCTACTTGGTTCTAATTCAGTGCGAAGCAACGCCCCTTTTCATTGGCTATTTGTATAGTCTACCAAAACATGGCAGAATGTCGACTATCGAATAGGATATTGACCATGTTTTATATCGATATCAAGGGAAATTAATTGTTGCGATATATATCGTTATCGTTTTATCGCCTAGCCCTAAACTGTAGTGAACCTATTTGCCATAAAAAACAAACAAACATTTATCTTAAAGTCCACCAAATATCTAATCACTTATCATCATGTGTGAAGAATACAACCTGACTTCAAAAATAAAGCATTTCTCAAGAGTGTACACATTTACTCGGACACTAATGTTTGGATCTGAGTGATCAATGATATTAATCATGTATCAGATCTGATCCTGTCTGCAGAGATTGATTGCCCGGCTTCTGTGTCAGTTCTCTGGTGGTTTCTCAACAAAGGGGTCAAGCTGACCAGGATCTCCTCAGGGTTAGTACACATACTATTGACAAGAACCTTCCTCCACCCCACTTTACAAAACCAAACTTCCCCTTTAAGAACCATAAAACTTCCAGTTAACTCCCATCCCAGTTAGACGCTGAGTCTATTATACTTTCGGTACATTTTGACAAACGAACATTGATGACAAAGAAGCAAAGAGAACAAAATTATGATCTAAAATCAAAGCTGTCAGTTTTATTACATTTGCTGAAGAGAAAGCTGGAGAAGCAGCAGCGTGATGTTATCGATCAATCTGAAAGGAGTTAGAGAATCGTAAAGAAGAAGAAAGAACAGGCAACCTGGATGCAGGAGGAAGAAAGCTCTACGCCAAGGTGAGACCACTTGACAGGTTTCTTCTCTGCAACTACTTTTCTGTTAAACACAGTCATTTCCCAGAAAGACCCTGGCCTCTTAATAAACAGTAAGATTATATTTTTCTGTTTCTTATTGACCCCTGTCATAAACAAAGGCAGGGTGAGTTGGCAGAGAGACACAAACACAAGCCCAGGCTGTCATTTACAGTAAATATGTCCCAGTTCCAGCATATGTTCCCACTCCTTCTGTTATCACTCCAGGACTCTTGTTCTCTGGAAGCATCAAACTTTTGTTTCCTGTCAGCTGTACCACTTTATCAGTTTCTATAGTCATCCTCCAGTATAGGCAGTGAACTTAATTCGTGCATAAAAAGACTGATTGTTTTCAACATGAATGCATCTTCACATTCATTAACTTCATATTAAAATTCTGAACATACTCTCCTTCTGTTCGTGTCTCTGAGCACAAATAATCCTCAGTGTGTCTGAGGACGCCGGGACACATCTGGTGCTGCTGTGAGCCTGGTTTGGTATTTAGTAGATGGTACCAATGAAGAAATCTTTCGATTAGGAGTAGGAAATTGCTTCTGTCAAGACCACTCAACAGGGGGAGATAGCTGGTGCTCGAATTGGGTCTCAATTTGAAAACGAGGAGTAATCTGGTGTGGCATCTTGATCACATTTTTCATGGAAAAAGAAAAAAAAAAAAAGGATGTATCCTGCTGCCAGAAAATTTGGCATTCTTGATTTCCTACAGACATGCTCACAAAGTGTTGAATGTGATTTTTAAGCTGTCGGGCCCTCTGTGGTTTCTTTGTTCTTGATCACACAAAGAAATGCATTATTCTGATTTATAGAATAAAATCAAAGCTTGCTCAGCTGCATCGTTCGAGGGAGAAACTAATTATCAGAGTACAGTCTGCACATGCTCCAATTATGCTCTCTAAATGTTTAATAAGCACAATCAATGAGCAGAATGAAATCAGCAACACAGGGCTTCAAACTGAGAGGAAGGAACTGTAACTCACTCTGTGGGTTACCTTTACCTTATGGAGGGGGAAAAAAACTCCCTTTGTAAAAGACTCAGGCATTCCTTTTGTAACCACTTTAATGGGCAATGCCTCCTGGTCAAGAGGTGGTCGCTGAATGGACTAATTCTGCAGGATTAGCCCTCCGCGGTGGTGATCCAGCCAGCCAAACAAATGTGACCTTACGGTGCAGAATCTGTGCACGCACAACTATACGTTGACCGCATAGGAGGGGGGCAGTTCAGTCAGGGGATTAGAGGGAATCAGGCATTCAGGCAAACCCTGCCGTTTTCAGATTCTTTCTCTTGACTTTGAAAGACTTCTTAAACAAAAATTACATCACAGAAGGGGGGAACTGCAGGCACAACAAGAGGAATAACAGCTAAAAGACAAGAAAGGGAAAGAAATTCAGGGCAGGAGAAGGTAAGCCTATAGACAGGAGGGCTAAGCAAACTCATAACGTCCACAGTTTGTGCTCCGGGGATGTTTTTCTAGTCTCCAAGGGCCTTACAGGGAGTGCTGTGGGGATAAAACCACAAAGAGGTGGACATGCTAGAGCTGGAATACACAAAACACCGGCTTCAACGTGTGTCAGGTGACCTTTTGTTCCCAACAGGGCTCAGTTCTGCTGGGCTGCACAGCCAAATAAACAGTGGATGTCCCAGAGGATGGTAGGGGCTGCAGGTTTAAGTAGCATCTGACAGACGATCCTGAAGGAAAGATAAGGCAGCTGCGCGGTGAAAACGGACCTTTATGCTCTCCTGCTCCTGCTGTGTCACAGACTAATATAACATGATGGTGATTCACCTTTGTCCGGTTTATAAAAGCTTTTATATGAGCTATTTCCAAACACCATCTGGAAGACAGTTTCCCTGAAAAACTCCTCAGCAAACAGGAGGAGGTATTTTTCTATGATGCTTTGTACATTTCTCGCGGTAAACAAAATGTTAGGACTTTTTTAAGAAGCCAGAGTGTAAAGAGGTGGAGGCAGGGGGCGACTATTTGGAGAGAATGAAACTACATTGATTTTGACATCTCAACATGGTGCATGAGTGCACATTGTATTTCCATTCTGAAGGGTTCTGTTCAGCTGAACAGTGCATACCGTGATTTCCCTGAACAGCGTGCACGGCGGGGAAAAAAGTGTTTAAATGTAAACAAACCAATCAACCAATCAATAAACACAGCCGGCCCCGAGGTGCTGCTGAGCGACTAATAAACAGAACAACAAAGAGCGAGATAGCACAAACAGAAAGAGCGGCGCAGACAGAATCAAACATGATTAACACAAACTCCACGGGAAGACGTCACAGAGCCGCTCTGACTGTTTGATGGATAACTTCTCTCTGAGGAGTCCAGCTGAAACAGTGCAGCTGGGACTGAAATACATGGAGATGAATCAAAACTCCAAGAGGGAGGAAGGCTTTTACCTCCGCTCCAACTCTTTGATTCTTCGGAGAGTGTTTAAAAGAACTTCCTCATTTACAGTAACTTTTATTAAATCACCCAGTTAGAGCATCACCGCAGAGGCACAAACATAGACTGTATATACAACGGACAACTCGGTTCCGCCTCCTGCCAGTATACGGATTTGAAGCCAACCTTGCGCAGTAGCATTATATACATGGGCAGGAGAGTCGCCAAGAGTCGCTGTGATGACGCTCGGCTCAAACAGCGTATCCCCTGGGTCAGCTACACAATCTTTGTACGCCCATAGGCTGTATCAGGTGTCAATCACTGAAAACATGAACCCTGAATAACTTTTAAAAAATGGAGTTCCACAGAAAAAAGAGGACTTGAGCACAAACCGGTCTTACAGTAACTACATGTCAACATCACAACCAGGGGGGAGAAACATTTATATTCTGTGTGATTAATTTCTAAAGTTTGTCCACAGCTCCATATGGATTGCTGGAGGAGGCGGGATTTATAACCTATACTGCAGCTCGTCACCAGAGGGTGCTGTTCTCGCTGTGGCTTCACCCAGCGAGGAGGCAGACACTGTCCATTCTATATACAGTCTATCTTGTTAGCATATGAACTTGTATGCATGAGTTAAAATCATGTGCTTACAAGTTTGTATCGTGTTAACAAAATACGATCTAGCGCACATGATATGATTATCTTGTGAGAACAGTTTATTATGAACATAAATTGCTATCTTGTACTTCCAAGTTAATCTCACACACTCTGAACTATTCATCTTGGGAGAACAAGTTATCATGTTTGCAAAAAGGTATCCTGTGAGTCACAATAATCTTGTGACTAGAAGTTATCCAGTGTGCACACAGCGTAATAATCTTGTCAGTGCGAGGTGATAACTACCCGGAGGTAACAAGTTCTTATCTTGCAAGCAAAATATCAATTTGTAGAGCAAGATATCATCTTAGAGAAAAATAGAGTTACCATGTGAGAACAAGTTATCTTGTGTGTGAAAATGAATCAACTATCTTCCCCATTCAAGATATCTTACACACACACACAGTATAATAATCGTGTTGGAACAAGTTGGTGTCTTGTGATCACAATAAAGTTAATTTCTAGTGTCCAGATGTTAATATGTAGTGTGAACAAGTTTGTCTCTTGTGAGCAAACGTTATCATCTTGATGGAAAAGTACAATAAGCTTGTGTATGGAAGATGTTATCTTGTAACGAGTTATTTCCTTTAGTTTAAATGATGATGTTGTTGGGACATTTCATAAGCTTGTGCACCTGATATAATTATCTTTGTAGAACAAGATACAGTCTTGTTGGTACATGTTATTATCTTGTGGGAACAGGTTATGATCTTGTGCACACCTTGACTCTTTGTAAACACCTTAAAAACCAACACAACTAACCATCATGGAAATGTGCCATTTTAAGGATTTTACTCTCTTTATTAGTGATGTTTTAAACTTACAGACTGTGAATCATGAAGGAGTCGATCCAGGAGCCAAAGATTCTGATTATTTGTTGAATAACTCTTGTTAAAGAAGGTTTCCGTACTTCAGGTTTTATTGTGACACTAAGTTGCCGCTGCCTGATTGAATAAAGTGTCTAACTGCACATGAGCACCTTCTGTCTTCCTGTCTGCTTAACCTTTCCCGTAGCCTCACTTCTGATGAACCGCAGGGGCCGTTAACATTATCGGCTTTATGACACGACTGCTAAAGATCACCGAGATTCCTCAGAGCCCCCAGGTCCCCCAGCTTTAAGTCCTCTGAACATACTCGATTGCTGCCTCTATTAAAAAGCAGTTATGACTGCGATGACTGAAATGCGCTTAACAAGTCTGTCATCGCCAAAGCTTTGTAAGCGTCAGTTGAGCCGATAGGATGTGAAATGGCTCGCTGGGTGACGAAACCCCCGACGGTGAACTTTGAGGCAGAGGGATTTGGTCTGGGTGGACAGGTGGTTCCTCTGGGGAGGCAGGAACTTGGTACAGAGCCTTTGAAATCCCCTCAACTGGAAAATGGGGCCGCTTTGTAGCTTTTCAGACGATGAGGGGTCTGCAAATACTGACCAAGTCTTTTTATCCAGAGTGGGGCCTTATAAACTTTCTTATTCGTAAAACAAATCAAGAAATGAGCTCAAATCACAACTTTTAAAGCTTTACAGGAAAAACAAACAAAACTGATCACAGCGAATACCATCAGTGAGGACAGAGCCACAGAAACACAACATGCATGTGCACGAGAAAGTGGGAGGCATTATGCAACACGGTGAAACCAATTCCCCTGTTTCTAAGTTAATCAGACAGCCGGGGATATTTCTCAATTAAATTATACTACAATCTTATTTTAAGACAATGTCACCTTAAAGTAGGTTACAACTCACCGAGGGGGGAATTGTTTTTTTTTTTAAACTCGTACAATAAAATGATGAAATCAGATGCAAAGTTGCGTGTGTTTCAGCTCCTCAGCACACGGCTTTTGTTTGAGCCTGCAGGTGATTTTCTACTTTTGGAGAGATTTGAAAGTTTACTGTTTGAAAATAACTCAAGCTCGACAAATAAAAACTTCATTTGTTAAAGTTTATGATGGTTTACAAGATGTAGAAGTGTCTGCACTTACAATTGCTTGGTATGTCTGAGAACGGCCTTGAACAGTAGCTATTTAGGAGTTAAACTTTATTGTCTGGCATATAAGGTTTATCAAAGGGTATACTTAACTTGTTAGATATTTATAAGAGAAGCTTATTTTGAATCTGTCGTTTCTACTTTTTCACTTTATGAACATTTTTATGAGCTTTATAGGGGTGTAACGCTTCATTTTAACAACAAATTGGTTAGTGTCATAATTCATGGTTGCTGATTCGATTCAAGGATGATATTGGTTCATTTAGAACAATACCATCCAAAACAATTCAGTTACTTTTTAGCCAAAAATCCCACCAGTGTGACTGTAAAATAAATACTTGGTTACCGGACAGTGCAGCTGAAGTTTCTTGATTTCTGTTGTTTCTTGTAGGGGAATCAGGTGTTAATTAATTTTGGTTATAAACAAAGAGGTAAACACAGATTATTAGCAAATGCATTCACATTTTATTTAAGTAAAGTGCAACCACTCCAGGTTGAATTAAAAAGAGATTAACCTTATCTGTTCTCAATTCTGCCTAATTAAATCTACTGTTTTTTTCCCCCTAGTATCGACACAATCGATTTATTACATTTTAAAACCATGTCAGATCGCTACATGTCGTCCTGAAGACCAACTTGCTGAGCACAGATCGATGTAGTTAGATCATAGGAATATAAATAGGTAAATCCATGTTGTAGATGAACCGTTACACCCCTAGAGCTTTAATATGTTGAAACTTTTGAAAGATTTAGTTTAAGACTTTTGATAACAATGTAGGTGACTCATGGAAGAACCTGTGGAGTTTTCAGCTTTAATTTTGTGGATGGATAACGTTAACACAAGGTGGATCAAGAATATTATTCATTTAAGCAATTTTTGCCCCTTACTGAATGATCTGTTGATCACATTTTGTTGTTCATCCCCCCGGCGATTCATGAAACAGTCCATTGAAAAACTTTCCTCTTCATGCTTAGCTCACATGTTAATCAAGAAAGTCTACGTAATCATCACAGCTCAGTTGTGGTTATAAATAAACACATGAAAAATAAAAGAAAACAGACGCCTGATGAAGATTCATCTGAAAACATTTGCTCTGCTGATTACATGCAGCTGTTACTGGCATGGTAGAATAATGTTCCATTAAACAGCACTTCATCACAAATATGTCATTTTTCCCTCTATTTCTCCACATGTAATCACGCTTTTGTTTAGGCCATTGTTTACACTCTCAATAATGCCAATATCCATTGATTATGCTTTGTCAATCAAGAGCTATCTAACATTTTTAATTCAGGGATTGACACTGTTGTCATAGCAGCAGACATGAAGTTACCACTGCAGTGATGGCAGCTAAGATAGATAGCGCCACACATGAAAGAACTTGTCTTAAGTATTTGTCTGAATTCCTCAAGTGGGCTGCACCCATAGACATTGTACAGGAAATCCAACGTCACCGCCATATTGGATGGGTCTCCCCACTCCAGGCTCGCTCAAGAGCCAAACGGGGGTTAATGGAGAACGAGCAACTATGCCCGTATTTTTGCACTCTATGGTTGAAAAACCCAACGCAGTATTGAAACCAGATCATGTAGCATTATATTTCACAAATAGGATTGAGAAAAAAATGGTTTATTTTTAATGTGTGACATTGTCCTGTATTATGGCTACATCCCTGCCGTTGTAACAAACCAAATAGTGTGAAAATCGGGCAGAGATTCGGAGAGTTATTATTAATATGGTTGGGCATTCCTAGCTACCTTAATGCACTGGAGACGCATGGGGACCCATCCAAGATGGTGGCCGCACTAATATGTGAGCTCCAGTAGGCAGCGTCAGGCTTTAAGGCATCTACGTATATGATGTCTATGGCTGCACCAGCTCTGCTAAAGTTCAGTCATCAGCTAAGTAAGCGTCATCAGAGCTATGAAAAATATGGAAACCTTATTCACGACGTGTTTTAAAATCTGACATTGTAGAGAAATTTGCATACATCTTCTTTATCAATATGTTTACTGATTTCGATTAAAGCTGCCTGTATCTGCTTTCCTCCAGCTCCTCTTTCAACTGAACTGTCAGTTATCTGACATTCACTCCTTCATACCGGCTGACAGGTGAGCGCTGCATATGTGGGGGCGAGGAATCTTCCTGAGGAAATGTCAGGTAAATTTAACTGACCTCTAAGCTTCACATGGATCAGTGCACACTGATATTATCCTCCCAGCGTACGCTCAGAAATAGAGCTCGCAGTTATGTATTCACAGGCTCTCACATACACAAATCAATCTTTGGCCTTTAATGATGTTGTTGACATTAATGAGGGAAGGGACACGCTCATGGAGGCGGCTAACGATGCTAATCATGGAGATATCACACTGATACACAAGTAACAAGCCATCATGTCTGCGAATGAGCCACCATTTAACTTGGATATTAGTTTGGTGTGTGTGTGTGTGTGTGTGTATATATACAGAGATGCAGAGCACTGATTTGAGCCACCGAGCCAATCACAAGAAAGAGCAGAATAAAAACGCTGTATGCAGCACGTGGAGGGTGCAGGAGGATGCTGGTAGAGTTAGTAGATCCAGTGACAGAGATGCTGCGGGGCCAAAACTACCGCTAATATGGGAAAGTAGAGCAACACCCTGTCCTGCAATCCAGGCAAGAAGAGATGCAAATGTCCTGTGCGTGGAGAACTGTACATTACTACGTCTGTACAACTTGTCTACAAAAGTCAGAACAAAATCTGCAGAAAAGAGGTTAAAGGCACTGATGCAAATCTAAGAACGCTGAACAGAATAATAAAATCTGTAAACTACAGTTATATTCTTGTCATCAGAGTCATGGTTAATATGATCTGCCTGTGATGTGGGAGGCTGTGCCCGGTCAGTGAGGTTCACTGTCTTTGGTAGTTTGATATTAAATTATTGAAATAGACTTCTTTCCTGGAAAATGACATTAAATATGATTGCAGGTATTGTTTCACATGTACAAACCCCAGGATGTAGATTATCCCTTCATTAGTCTTGATTGCTGCTAATGGCTTCCACGCTGGCCCACTCACATGGTCAGACTCCTTATAGGATCAGTGGTCATACATTTCCTTGATGAATTAATTTGCTGCATATAGAGCTCAAGATATTTCCTCAATGTAATTATAAGATGTTTTATTCAGTTTCCTCAAGTTTTGAGTCATTCAATCGAACTTTTATTGGATATATTCAATCTCTGATTCCATATACTCAAACACCATAAATATTGTAATTTCCTGTTATGATTTTTTTTTTACAGTTTCAAAGTTTCTCAATCTTTCAATACAATCTTGTGGTAGGGTCTTATTTTAGATTACAGATGAGATATTCAATGAAAAAGGAAAATTCATAAGTCATCGAGTTTTTAATATAATGCCACAAATGTGTATTTTGCACTAAACCACCATGTCTGAATTTTCAAGCTTTTAGCTCCACTCTATATAAAGAAATCCTCAACCAATTAAAATCAGCCACATCATTGAGTTAACTGTTTCAAAGTATTTTCAGTATGGTAAACTCATTTTAACCCTGATTTAAAGCAGCACGGTTTTAGCCAACATTAAAATCCCAATTTTTTTTTTGCTGACGACTAAGTCCTAGATTTCGATTTTTTAATTAGTGAAAACTTCACAAAGTTTTTCTATCATCTCTCAAAATGAAACCACTGAAAATGATGTAGTGCATATGCCAAGCCAGTAAGTGGCGCTGTAACGCTGCTGCACAGGAAATGCAAAAAAAGACAGAAGAAGAGTACAGAGCATGTGTATAAAGGTTGTTTTGGCCGGACACGCGCAGGCGCCATAAAAGAGTTACGCTGTGTGTCACATAATCATTTTGAAAGACGCAGATATACATCCACACGGAGATGAAAAATAGTCGTTTACAGATTTATGCACTCTCTGACCCGTTTTCAAAAAGTACCGTTTACAGTCACCCGAAACGCCATTTCCACCAATATGACAAAAACTTTTGCGTTTACTCCTGAATTCGTTTCCGTGTGGACGGGTTGATACCGCCTTCAGACAGACTTTGCAGAGGGGAGTGGTTTGCTCTTCATCCAAAACTGTGAAGCCGTACCAATTCCACAAGACTGACTTCCTCTCGCTCTATTTAGCCACAAAATTATCGCCTTCTTATGCAAACGCCATGAGGGTGTGAAAGGAAAATCAATTTGATGATTTACATTTTTTTTAAATCATCATAATCAAATAGTCCAACTATGATTTAAAATTGATTAATTATGCAGCCGTACTCTGATTGTTGCTCAGCTCAGCCAAATCCTCTAGTTTTAATCTGTTGCTGTCCCTCAATTCACATACAACCACGTGAGCATTCGTGATATCCAACTCTGATGTTTAACTATCAGATCTGGCCCACAGCCTTTGAGTTTTGTGCTAAGTTGCAGGAAGGGTCGAGGGTCAGGGCCCTCAGCAGATACTCTGCTGTCATAGATATCTTTGCACTGTAATAAATACATGAATGAATGACTGAAGAATAAAAATGTTATGTTATTCTTTGAAACAAGAATCCAAAATTTGTCAAAACAAGCCAAAACATCTCTAAAGAGATGCAGTCAGACTTTTGATTGAACACCGTGCAGTGAGTTAGTTTTTGGAGTATCTGCCTGCTGCTACATGATGAATTACTACATTTATTAAAACCAAGAGGGTCTCATTGCAACTTCTGAGACAGAAAAATCTATGAAAAACGTACATTTATATGCAAGAGGGGAGACAAATGTTAATTGGAAAAGAGTCAAACTTATTTGCATTGCAGCCTTTGCTCCACAGCTCTTTGGCAGCCTTAAATATCATTTACCATCCTCCAGCTGATAGCAAATCTGGGCTCTGGTTTCCTTTCTATATCTAAATATTAATAGTCTCCATTACACCAAAATTACTTTCATCTCCTACTCACATGGAGGGATTAGATTTTAATCAACCCATTAAATATGACTTTCTATTCCTGCAGATGGGAGGGGTTGGCAGGCAGTCAATTAGCATCAAGCGCTGTTTGCAGTCTCGCTGTGAAGCCTGATGAAGTCTTTGTTATCGCAGAGGCTGTAAGAAGACAAACACACAGACAAAGTGGCACCAGGGAACCAGGCAGCATAGTTATGAGCTTCTGCGGAGGATCAACGGATCAATATAGTTTTGAAAAAGCTTCTGAAACAATATTTTCTGTAATTAAAAGACTTAAAGACTTCTGGTTCCTTACTTGTGTCTAAAACCACAAAGGATTTCAACTGGCAATCAAAACTCAGCCCAATCTCAGCTACTCCTGAGTATCAATATCTGCAGAAATATTCAACATTTGAGTCAATATGTCGTTTCTTTGGCTTCATTGTTATTCCTACAATAGATGCTTCTCAAAATAGTTATCAGCAATCAAAATGTGAGAGCTTTGCATCTTTTGGTTCTTGTTTTTTTTAGAGAGAATCACACAAAAAATGCAGGGGTTTGTTATGTGGGTAATATCTGATTTGGACAACTGCAACACTTTGTATAAAAGTCCAAACCAACAGAGTTTGGACAAGTTACAGCTCGTTCAACATGCAGCAGCCAGTCCCTTAGAAAAACTAAATAATAGTTTTTAAAGCCCCCTTTGGTCTCAAACTCAAGTATATTTCTGATGTTCTGTGTCCGATCATAACCTGATGTCCTCAGCCAAGGATCTGCTCATCTTCCACAATCCAAGCTGAGAACCAAAGACAACGAAAACTGAAAGAGCCAGGTGCTTGTTTTTTTGTGTCGTGCGCTGGAAAGCTTATTTATGGCAGCAGTGGGAAAAAGTTCTGTAAAGATGGAAAGATATTCACAGATTCGGACTTCTGGGATCAATAACTCTGAGACCAAACACAAATGATGCCTCTTTCATGTCGTAATAACACAGACTACTAGCTACAAGGATCACAAACCGATTTGTTTTACAAAAACAAGCCGTTCTTCGAGCTGGATGAATAATACAGGTCTCTATGCGCTGCCGGTAGCCAGGCGAGTGCGCAGGGATCGTCTGCAAATTACAATACAAGAGCAAGACGCTGCAAACAAAAACCAATAGTTCCATTGTTATACAGTAAAGACCCCAAATCACAACACACACAAGGGACTCTTCATACGACATGTGCCTTTTTAGAATTTTGGTGAATTTTTATTGTTATGAATCATTTTTATCTTCCAATATTAATCAACAGCTCCACTGTCATATATTGTCAGCCCCTCCTGCATAAATAAAAAATTCTGCTTTTTTTCTGCTTCGAGCCCTGCACTCATCTAAGCCCCTGTCTTAAAGGAAATCCCTCATGTGGAGCCTCGTTCGGTAACAATACTCAGAAACGTCTTCTTCATTACCTCGTTCATGTTTGTGTTTTATTCTGCTCTGTGTGGACTATGGCTGCCAGTCTGTCACTCATGCTTACATCATCTACTTACATTTATCGTATTTATCTTGAGATGGCAAATATTTATCATGGGGGATTTTCTGATGATATATCATGAACGATAATTTATCGCCCAGCCCTACCCGTGACAAGTCTGGACAATTAAAGCACTCACATTTTCTTCTACTGACCTCTTTGCACAAAGCTCAAACACTCTGTGAACAAATACGCATCTATGAGTAAAACTTTGAAAGTTTAGGTATCAAGAAAATCAACAGCTCTACTTAAATGTTCAATCTAGAGTTAAAAACTATAGTATACTGTTTGCAGATGTGTGTTTTCCAGCTTCTGATTGAAATAGTCTTCCTGTTTCATTCACTCAAAGCTCTCTGATGTTCGCGGTGCACTGACTCACAGCTAATCCCAGGTGAGATCAATAAAGTCTGATTAGTTTGCTGACTCACAGCAGGTGTGCTGCCTCTCCCTCCTCCTCTTTTTCTTTTGCAGAGTTTTGATAACCTCAGTCTACAGTTGGTTGTTTGGTGCTCTGTGAATTACTATGGCGCAGTCTTTGTTTATTATCTTTATGCTCATGCTCTCCGCTGGTTTTGCGAGGCATTTTATCAAAGGGAGACCAAAGTGTTACCAACAGGTGCCCAGGAGACCGGACTTTGGTGTACAGTGAGTTGACTGATGAGTTGTTTTTTGGAGATTTACTTTGGCAGTGTGTTTTCTTGTTGTAAACCACCGGATGGAAGAACATTTAGAGATTTGAATGGGTCAAATTATAGTCAGTTTCAATCAGGTAATAAAGTTAGGTTTGTTAAGTTTTAGAAAAAAGAAATAGGCCACTTTTTTAACTAAATACCTGTTTTGTGATTCTAATAAAGAAAAGAAGTATTAAATATTGTCAGATTAAAGATGGTGGGTGTTATTTTTTTGCCCTTTTCTAAACAAAAAAGATCCATTTAAGATCTTGCAGGAACTGTAGCCCCCATTTTTAGTCAATTTTCAATGATTAGTCTCAAAGTTAAGACAATGAGGAAAATTTACACAGAGTTGTGCATATCGACTCTTTTTTTCAGTGAATTTTTTTGTCTTCAGCTTTCTCAAGGCCTTGGCCATCAATGAAATTAACCAACTTTGTCACATGTCTGACTTAATTTAAAGCCTTCATTCAGAAGTTAACAGGGATTAATCTTGACCACATTCCTCGGTCCCTCCTGCTTTGTGGTCTTACCTGCTGTGATTTTGGCTTTTCCTGAGGTGTATTTTTGAAACCTGGGAGGGGAGTCAGAGTTACCGTGAACCTGCTGCCCTTCCAGCTTCATTGTGTTTCTAAAATGACTGAGAACTAAAGTCTTTTGTCTCCCTCAGAACTGCAGCTCGTCCTCATGAACTCCTGAACCTGGTTCAGCTGCCAAAGTCCTGGGACTGGAGGAATGTCGACGGCATCAACTACGCCAGCACCACTCGCAACCAGCACATCCCTCAGTACTGCGGCTCCTGCTGGGCTCATGGCAGTACCAGTGCCATGGCAGGTTGGATTTTCTTTCACTGATGCTGTTTGAGATTTGAAATAGTGCCCAAAAAAATCTACAATGCTTGGTAAAGCACAAAACACTTTAAAATAAAACTCTCTAAGTCTTAAAATAATCCAGTTTGTTCCTAAAAAGGTCTCCTCTGTTGGCCTGTTGATTCAATTGAAGTTCTTAGATTTTCAGGCAGCTTTTAACCAAAATTTGGGTCTTTTGTGATTTAATTTGAGAGAATACTATAAATGACTTTAAAGTAAAAGCAAAGTAACAAGATTAATCAAGTTGTCTGCATAAAACACAAGTTGGCAAAGTTTGGGTCAGTGAGCCTGTTGCTCAAACTTGCATTTGTGTAATTTAAACACTGTTCCAGATCAGGGGGTGGGGAGTCAGAAAGGCAGTTCTCATTTCATACAATTGAAGATGAATTTAAAAGACCAAAAATAGACTTTGGACTTTTTAAAATGTACTCTGGTACTCTGGCATACAAACATGGTATTAAATAGCAAAGGATACACTTCAGACATGTAAAAAATAATTTAATTTGACCTTTTTAAGTGAAGTTGATACTAACTTTTTTCCACACTAACAACTGATTTCTTTGGAGGATGAAAAGAGACTGAATGAAATACATCAATACATCTTTAAATGAATACTTAAATATATCATTAATTAATTTAAAATGGGAATGAAATAAACGTCATTAATTTATTAAAATACCAGTTCAATGTTAAAACATATATAATTATTTCATGGACCTGTGTTGCAGTGCTTCATGAATTTATTTTATCTGTCAAACTCACCCATCAAAGTCAGTGGGCGGATCCTAACACCTGATTGGTTACCCGGCAAGATCAAGACAGATCAACTCCAGATAATGGATTGATGCAGCTACATTACAGTCAATATCTTGGGTGGAAAGTGTGGAATTAGGGCTGGACGATATGGCCTCAAATCAATATCATGATATATTTACAGTTTGTTCACCCCCTCCTACATTAACTTCGTCTACTTCAGCCGCCGCTACAACTTTTGAACCGTCCTCCATCTCCTCACCTGTCTTTCCCTCTTTGTTACGGACTGGATGGGGTGGGGTCACGTCTCTGACGTAGGACAGCATCTTAAAGAGACATGAGACCACAGCCTACCCACACACATCCAAAACCAACTTTTATTTATTTATTTTGACACCAAATATACCAATATGGGCAAAATGACGTCGGTTATTGTCGTAAATTTTGGTATTGGTAAATTTTCGGTTTATCGCCCAGCTCCAGCGGAAATAACTCCAAAAATGTCTCCTTTTGTCCTCCATATATTCCAGGACATGGCTATTTAACAACTTATCTGTCCTATCTTCAAATATTTTACAGCAGCAGTTTATAGAGTGCTGCTGTAGTCGATGCACCATCAAAATCTTGATTTTAGAGAAGTCAAAATGGTTAGCAATTTTTTCCCCTCAGTTTGGAAATCACTAGTTTACTTGAGCTTGTGAGTCCATATCTGATTATAACCTTGTTTGATTATATCAGTTTTCTGGTTCTGATGATACTTAACAAAATAAATCAACTCCTGAGTGTTTCACTGCCATCCAAGAAAAACCTTGGAGGATGTCTGCTAATAAGACTTAATGACCATCTTTCTTAAACTTCGAGTTTTGAAATATTTCTACATGATTGACACAAACTGATCAAACTGCCTAAACATGTAAAAGCTCATTAGTTCTCATCATGCTTTAACCAAACCCTGCAGTCTTTCCATTGAACGCACGGTTCTGGTACACCAGTTTCGTCATCTGAATTTGGAGCTCAACCATTTGGACACTGAGACGCTGGAGGGAACCGTCTTTGCTCAAGAATAGCATACAAATTAAATCTTGAGACAAAATAACAGATGGGCTCCTTTTTTTAATGATATCAAATCATTGGAGATCTCAGCAAAGCTTTTTCAAAATAACATTTTTCTGGAACTCTCTTTTGCCTCGTGTAGATCGTATCAACATTAAGCGGAAAGGAGCGTGGCCATCTGCTTATCTATCCGTCCAACATGTGGTCGACTGCTCCGGGTCTGGTACCTGTCACGGTGGAGATCACGGAGGTGTGTGGGAGTATGCCCACAAACATGGCATCCCTGATGAGACCTGCAACAACTACCAGGCGATCGACCAAAGTGAGAACCGTGTACACTGTTGGATCTATTCAGTTTTTATCTATGAGCCTTTTTTAATTAAAATGTTCCGTTCTCTCAGAGTGCGAACCATTCAACGCCTGTGGGACCTGCATGACGTTTGGGGTTTGCAACATTGTGCAGAACTACACTCTGTGGAAAGTGGGCGATTTCGGAGCCATTAGTGGACGTGATGCGATGATGACAGAAATCTTCACTGGCGGGCCAATAAGGTGAGATAGATGGATAGATACTTTATTGATCCCGAGGGAAATTTCAGGTTTATTGTTGCACTTGAAATGTTTATTTTTTTTCAATTCCCATTTGACTTTAATTTCCTCTGTCTCTCCCCTCAGCTGTGGAATCATGGCCACAGAGAAACTGGATGCGTACACTGGGGGTCTTTACTCTGAGAAAGTTGAGTCTCTTGAAATAAACCACATCGTTACAGTCTCAGGCTGGGGAGTCGAAAACGGCACAGAGTACTGGATTGTGCGCAACTCTTGGGGAGAGCCATGGGTGAGTGCACGCTAGCTTCATCATCTGCCATTTGCCCCTGCATTCATGCTCAAGGTGGGCAGCTTGAATGGTATTATGGCGTGTTCAAGGTTTGCAAATATGTTTTCTAAAGGGAGTATAATCTTCTGCACCATTTCTTTTAAAGATCATGCATGGTGAAAATCCAACAGGCATGAGTATCCTATAGTGATGCATTACTGTGGTAAAACAATGGCGAACATTAGCATTTAACCACCCCCTGGCTTGGCTGGTATTAACAAAGCATGCACACCTATCATCATTTTAAAGTATCATTCAACCACTTCTTGGGTAACTGTTAAATTAGCAGGGAAGCTAAATGCCAATATTAACACTTGTGCGATTAATGGATCATAAGATGTTTTGCCGTCATATTTGGCTCAATGACCCTCTTAATTTTCTCTAATTGCCTCTCAGTTGCTAAAAAAAAGTTGCAGTACAATTCTAAACTTGAAACCTTGAAGACACAGCAGTGTTGGTTTTGTTAATCTTAAACTATGATGAATTATCGACAGTGACCTTTTCTCTATAACGAGATGACGTTGACCTAAAAAACAAACATTGTTGAACAGCTGCTTTGTGGATACAGTCCTTTGTCTTTTTGCATGGCTTTGATTTTTAACGCTAATGTGCAAAAATCGAACAAGTGTTCCCTGTGATCCTCATGACCCTGATTCATTTTCCCTCTCTAGGGAGAGAGAGGCTGGCTCAGGATTGTGACGAGCGCCTACAAAGGAGGAAGTGGAAGCACGTTTAACCTTGCTCTGGAGGAGGACTGTATGTATGGTGATGTGATTGTACCTGCAAATTACTGATAACAACCCCTCGTCCTCTGGTGCCTGAGCTGACCCTGCTCACAGCCTCGGTGGCGCAGCCAACTTAGTTGACTGTCAATTTTAAGAAAACAAGTCGGTTAAATTAACTTCACTGTGCGCATTTAAGGAAAAGAGGAATCTATTGTAGATCTTGTAGTTCCCCAAAATAAAGCCTTTAGACAAAGTGTGTTGTCTTTGCCTTCATTATTTTAGCTTTTTCCTTTTTAAACTTTAAAGTGTGCTCAGAAATGATCTACGTTGTGTATGAAGCTTGTCAATTCTGCATCCACTTTAAAATACACCGGAACTTCTTATACCGTCGCTCCTGCGGTTTAGATTTTCCCCTCAAAGTTCAGACCCCAGCAGCTTACATCTTTAACTCTGTCCCTCTTCTTGTTAAAATTTCTTTTAGATGCACGTCTTCAAATCAAACTGTCTGTGGTTCACAGCAAGAATAACAAACTCGCTGAAATATTTCTACCTCCTTAAAGCTAACTGAGCCTGATGTTTTAGAGATTAAACTGACTTTAACAATTAAATCTCCAGGCGTCTGAAAGTGATTCATCTCGTGTGTGAATCCCATGTCTTGTTGCTCTGAATTTGCTCCCCCATCCTCTTTAGTCAGAACGATCTTTAGTGTGTGTCTGTCTCATCCACTGAAGCAGAAATACTTTGTTAGGAAGGGCGCATAAAAGATGACAATCCCCCCCCAATGCATTATTCAAGCCTGGTCTGAAATTTGATTTGGAATATTAAAATGTAGGAGGAGATACTGGAGTCAGAAAACACCTAAGCAGACCCCAAAATATTAACTGAAACAGGGTAACAGCATCTCTGCTTTGTCACTTCCGAACTTCCTCTAATCATAGACTGTAGGGGTGGGAGAAAAAAAGCTATACAACATAGTATCACGATGTTTTGTCTGGAGATTTATCTAATCGTCTCATCCACCAGGTACCAATGTTTTCAAATTCATTGCTAATATCAACTCAAATCTATGGAAATGGAAAAAATAAATCAATTGTTAGTGACATCATAGAGCAGGAAAAAGTGAGTACAACAAACATGGCAGCACCGGAGGAGGGACATCAGGAATGAAAGCAGGGCACAAATGAGATGGACATGACGTGAGGTTTGGAAGAGGTACGAATAAAATTCGGAGTCAATAAGACAAACATCAGGGAAAGTCAAATGCTAAACAGTTGAAATAATTGAACAAATCGCAATATATGGTATCACAATAATCACAAAATGTTTAAAATCGCAATGATATCAAATCCTGGCCCAAGTATCATGATATCGTATCATATCCCAACCCTAACAGACTGTATATCAGTATTGGTATGTGGTATATATTAGTAATGGATTAATGTTGATTTTCAATGGCTTATAATTATAGTATAATTTATAATTCTGTGTACATGACAATGATGGAACTGAATTAACTCATGAACTAGAGGAGCACCTGTGTATAACTTTATCCACTATATTCTGTAAGTTAGAAAACCAAACCAAAGTTTGATCTTCAGATGTACTTGTGTCATCAGAAGTGAAATATTTCAAGTCTATGTTGCTTCAACTTTGACTTTGGCCTACAAAAATCAGAAATCCGGTATCTTATATGTTTGGAGTTCTTCCTGTGATCAATCAAAAACAAAAAAATCTACGTTATCGAACAGCAGTCTGCTGATACATCAAATTGAGGAAAGGTAACATGAAGGTGGAGCAAGACGTAACTCCATTTCTGGTGCTAAAATCCCCAAAATGTCCAAATCACCATCTTTGTGATAGAAACTTCTTTGAATAAATGTCTCTAGGCTTTTATTTTGATTTTTTAATCCTGTGTTTAGGGTTTTATTTCCTGCATTGTAAAGCCGTGCTTTTATTTTGAAGTGTAAGCTACTTCTGGTAGGTCACAGCAGCTGGATTCGAACCTAGGGGGCCTTGCATACATTAGCGGTGCTGACAAAAGCAGATGTGATGACCATCTGAAGGAATTTTAAAAACAAATCAGGACGGATTCCAACAGCTTTGAGAGAGGAGCAGCTTTTAAAGATCAGAGAATGACTCACTTTGTTTGTTGGTTCAGTGTTTTCTTCACCACATTTTACAGGAACAGAGAAACATTTGTCTAAAGTTCAACAGGAACAAAAAAAAAAGAAAAATCCTTTAGCTTAGAAAATGTCAGTGATTGAAAGTGAGGGATTGAAGCTTTAACTGTCTTTTTACGTCACATTTCACACTGGGCGAGATTGGCGGCAGGCTGTCATTTGCACATACAGTCAATACTACAAACCTGACATTTAAATGACTGCCATGTGTACCTTAAGAGGCAATCAGAGCGTAAAATATGCTGAATTAAGTCCAAATCTTCAGGGAGGACCCCTGAATACACTTCCTCTGAAGGTAATTCCCTGGCACTGATTCATAAACGAAGATATTTTCTCTGCCGTTCTGTGACGAGCAGGCAACGTCATTTTCTTCTGCCGGGATGTAAATGCAGATTTATACATCAGGGTCAAGTTGTAAGGAGGTGCTAATACAGAACTATCAAGGTTTAAGCTTTTTTTCCTGAGTGATTGACAGACATCTCCTCTCGTCATTAACTTGGGCCTTCAGGGTCACGCGACCAAACAGAGCCGTTCTCTCTGAAAAGCTGCATGACATTTATTTGTTCTACATCTCTGAGCTTGATAAACAGACCCACCTCCTTTATTGACTGACATGCTTTATTAGTTTCAATTCTGTCATGCTTCTGGAGTAACATTGGGTTTAATCACCAGTTATCTGCAGCTGCACACACAGCAGCACAATGCCGTCCTTTGAGTTTATGTGCAATTACAAAGAGCCCATTTTCTTGCTGTTCGGCTGGGGAACAAAAGAAAAACTGAGCGCTTAGATATTTTGTTCAGGGGACGCAACAATAATAAAAATGCATAAACACAGGCTGCTATGCTTTGCTGCCGATATGGAAATGTTTCCCATTAGCTGCAGTTTCCATTCAGCATCTCTGGGGAGAACAAAGGATAATCAAACCTCGTGCAGCGCCGTTAACTTCAAGCCTCCAAACCCGGGCGAACCTTAAGCCTATAAAGCTGTGGCGTGTCCGAGTGGAGGCCCACTGTGAAAACAAATATTGAGCATAATTTGGTTGCTCAATATTACGTGATCGAGCTCCCCCCACCCTTGAGCAATCTTTCACGTGAAATCAAATTTGTGCTCTGATTAAATTTCCTGCATGTTTTCTCATTTGCATAATCACAAACAGAGCTGTAATGGCTGTGAATGAAAACACATGCTAATCTTTGGGTTTGGGGCTCAGACAGAAAGAGCGGGTCTTTCCAGTGAAACAAAAAATATGATATGAAAAATGCACATGAGCTACTTTCATACTTTGCAATTCAGCATTCATCTTCATTACACTAATCGATATGACAAAATGGATTTTTCAGCAATTCCTGCAAACCCATTATGCATTGTTTCAGAGATCAATATGTGGCGCAGTAAACATGGACATGGAGGGGGTGGTGGTTTTATGAAACAGTACTGCAGAGGCCTTTTGGTGGTGCTGAGGCCCGGATTAGCAGCTTAAACAGAGTTGGAGGGGATCTCCTCTCTTAGAGTATCTTTGAGCAAGGCGCTATGATGATTTATCCAAGAAAGCCTCCTTGAGAAGCCGTGGAGGAATACACAAAAATCTTCCCTGTGTGTCTGTCTGTGTGAGTGCTTTGTGAAATCCGTCCTCGGGCCACTGTTAAAACTTACCTCATGAAAAAATCAGCACAGAACAGAGCACAAAAGATTTTCAGATATAGAAAACATGCTTGTGATTCTGAAGAATATGCCTGAGAGCTTAAAGAACGCTATATCTGATGTTGTTACTCAGCCGTGTTGAATATTTGACTCTCATTTGTCCAAACACCAACGACAGTGATTCATTCTCAAAAACAAAAGTGACGCTAATGACAATCTGACCACACATCATCAATCCGTGGATTAGAGTCTGGCACATTTCACTCCTGCCTGTTAACACTGTGGAAAGCTTGTTAGCACAGGGCTAGGTGATATGGTAAATAATATTGTCATATAAGGTCAAAATAAAATATATCACAATAGCTGATATCAATAATTATCATGAATGTCAAATCTGAAATAGACCAGTTAATCCCCCAGATAATTATTGGTCTTTTGAAGTAAAAATTCCATTAGTATTGGCTCTCACAAAGCTGATGTTGCTATCACTTTTTCAAAATAAAAGCATTTCTGTATTTGTTAATGACAGTATATCAAATCTAGAAGAGTCTTTGGATAGTGTTTAAGTATTACCTCTGATAGAGATATCACCCACATGCTCAAATCTATCGCAAAACTCAATATTTACTTCTATTTCTATAATTCTTATATCTATCTCAAAGATGTTACCAGCTTAGATTTTTGTATATTATATTTTGCATTAATGGGTTTAAACATGACTTCTTTCTTATGTATATATAATTTTATTTAAAAAAATGTTAATAATCTTGGTTTTTTTTTTAGCACATCACTTAATTTATACAAGCGTTGATCGATTTGAGGACAAACATGTGTCTGCATGTCTGAATTTGAATATGTAGTATAAGTCTTTATTGTTATTCACTCTTCCCATGAGTATTGAGGTAATTTACTCTTAAAATAATGTCATGATTGATGACATAATTTCATGGACCAACTCTATTCTCCATAACATCACTTTTCATTCACTGATGCATGGTGACAGATACATAACTACCCCAGAATGATCATCACATCCTAAAGTGATGAGTAGTTTGATTAAGAGTCTGAGTCATATGACTTACGATTGATTGATTGATTAATCAATTCACTATTAATGTTTGGTTTTAATGAATGCTGTTGATTAATGCGTTCTCCATAATCATTTTATGGTTGAGCTCCACCAAGCAGTCGCATGATATTTTTGTTAATTATTAGGTAATAAGTTAATTAAGGCGGGTACTAGTTATGATCCAAATTAAAGTTCCTGTAAAGAGTTTTTTGAATAGCAAAGAAATCGAATAAAATTCAAAATACAGACAAAAGCAAACAAGACCATCAGCAACAAGATTCATGATTTCAATTTTGTTATTTTTAACGCCTGAAAGTGAAATGAGGAGGTAGTTGTTTTCATATTTTCCATAATAATGTTCAATTCAGATGACACACTTGACTGTCAAAGGTCAGCAGGATAACATCATTGTCAGAAAACACCACGAAAGCAAGAAGATGACCAGATGAAGACTGCTTTGTCCACAGGGGGCGCCAAAATTGACACAAACCGAAAGTCTCTTACAGGAGCTTTAATTACATGAGCAGTAGCAGCAACAGTAAAGCAAATACCATACAGGTAATTAGTCAGAAACCAGGGTCAGATGTATTCATGCCACAGTGTTCAGTTTTCTTTCAGAGCCCTTTCAGTGCTGCAAAATCCATTTTTTTCAAAACCAGGGTAAGTGTGTAAAGTTAAGATATGATCATTGTGATATTCATTTCTTGAAAAACAGGAAGAGGACACTAAAAAAAAAAAACAGTAAAGACAAAGATTCTCATGACTGTAGATTCAATCAGTGATTGTCACATGCAGCTTCGCCAGTTCGGCAGATATTTGCAGAAATGTGATCAGTCACATCCACACAGCCCTTCTTGCGTGTTTATGTTACATGCAATTTCACAATTTAGGACTGAGTTTTGAAAGCCTCGTACTGTTCTGGCGAAAATAGATCAAATCTGCTTGTGCAATCCACATTAACATCAGTCATTTGTTGTGCTGATCTGAAGTAACTTTTAAGCCTCAAACGCAACAAATGTGGTTCTGATTTCCAGAACAGAAGGCCCTATCACGGCACACAGTGTTTTCGTGATTATTTCATAATGCATGAAGCAGATCAGCTCTTCGAGATGCTATAAATCACTCATTAACTCCAGCTGAAGGCCCATCTGAGCTTATTTGCCCTACATTATACATATTAATCACTGAGCTAAAACAACAGAGATGTAAGCCTTGTATCCTAATGAGCCCATGCAGGAAATATGATTTGATCATTAAAAACAGAGCATCTTCCTCAGCCAGACACCTCTTTTCCTGATGATCGGTGTTTTTTCTGTCTGTTAAGTGAAAAAACACTTCCACAACAATAACTTAGTAGTGTGATCCTTAAATGGATTTACAGCTGAAACCACCCTGCTGATGTTATGCATCATTCCCCTGCTAATCTCACTTCCTTGTCCGATATGCTCATGCGACCTCGGGGCAGCTTCAGAATTAGCTTTATTTAATGGATGAGTATTAATCCTTCTTAGTCACAACAAAATTAAGGAATGATACAGCCATGAATATTTCAGTTACACTGCAGCAACATAGGAATCTGCTTGCACCGGCTTGCAAAAAAGGAATTGGTGATGGCATCCATTATTAATGCTTCATCATAAAATTCATATTTTGCAGCAGCAGAACAGAGGCTCGGCAGTGAAATCCAATGAGCAGTCAATACAATCTCAAACTAACTTGCTGAACACACAGAACAAAGAGAAATGGCCTCTAAAAGCATCAGAGCGCGCTGAAGCACGCTTTTGTTCTGCTTTTATCACGCCGTCTCTCTGAAGGTAGCGCATTCTTATTAGATCCCTTAAAAATAGATGTGAGCCTTCCAAGTCAGTGAGTTCTCGCAGCCTCCCCCTGGAAGTTTTAATTAGAGCAGCAGTCACTCGTGTTATCGTTGTTTCAAGAGGGCCGCTTCCACATTCCTGAGCTACCCACTTCATCACAGGATCAGCAATGAGCCGACTGTTTGGGATGACTGGCTCATTTTCACCCTGGATCCTACTTCGAGATTACTTCTGTTATGAACACAGAGCAAATGCTCTCCAATGTAATGAGCAGATTTAATGTGGGGACATAAACTCTGCTTTTATAGACTCCTCGTAGGCCTCTTACAGTAAGAACAAGCTGTGCAAGAGCAGCAGATTATACATCTCTCTCCACATGCATGTCATTGTCCAGATTGGTGCATGTAACAGCACTGGAAAGAGGGAGAGTCTGTATAAGAAGGCCTTTTAGGGGTTAAAACACCCAACAGCAGTCATATTTGAGGTCTGTTTCTCTTGGATAACAGTGTGGTTGTACTCTGTTGTTGATTTTTCAGATGAGGAACCGATTTCATACTCCAAACCACATGCCGTTTGGTGTCTTCACGGCTAAAGGCAACATTTGGGACTTTTCTTTTCTAACAGATATGCCTTTTTATCACGCAGGAAAACAACCTTAAAGGTCAAATAAAGTGTGGAAACAAAGCAGAAAATGGTGTTTGAGATGTTTTACATCATCAGCCACAACCTATTTTTGTTTAAAGCTCTGGTAAGTAACTTTTGTTTGCGTTCATTTTGTTGCCCCCTAGTGGACAAAGCAGTACCTTTTATCTCTTGGTTGATTTTTTAAATAACTTCAACATGCTCTCTTTTAAAGGTGCAGGTGTAGGTTTTATCTTAGCTTAGTTAAAAAGCAGCATTAGCAGCATTTAGTTAAACATACTTGGCTGATATAGAATATCGTTTTGAAATTATGTTTAAGTTTGCTCATTTTTTTAAGTCACACCTTTTATATCACAGAAGCTTCTTGTCCTTAAAGGCTGCCATTGCTTCACTAACAGGAGGGGTGAGCAAGGGAGCATTAAAATCTAAAATCTTATTTCTATATACTCCTATTTCTACACACCACATCTTTATGTTTATATATGCCACTCATTGAGATTTTTAGTCATGAAAAATATCAGCTTTGTCTCTGTTGGTCTTCTTTGCTTCTCTAACTTAAATTGAGGCATCAGTATTAATTTTATATCCAGCTTAAAACTCCTTAATGGTCCTTTAATTTTAGCTTCTAAACTAACAAAAATAATGTCTTTTTTTGTAGAAATGTTTAATCTAGTTTAAAATCTTTTCACTTTAAATGGGTGTTAAAGTTACCAAACCTCGAGTCAAAGTCATAATGAGTCTTAGTGTTGCAGTTCAGGTCACAGAAGAATTTCAATGGATCTAGTTTTAATTTCCATTTAAAACTTGAGTCAAAGATTGTTAAAGACCCACTCCCATGGCATTTTTTTGATGCTACAGGACATATCACGAGAAAAGTAAGTGAAAAATTGCATTTCTGAGTATTTCTGCATTCAAATGCTGTGAATCTCTGGCAGGCTTAGACACAGTGAGATTTCCTACGTGGCAAATCCAAGCTCCATCCCCAGAGCCCCACTATGCAGGCCAGACTTGGAAAAGGACAATCCCAGAACAAGCGTGTGCGTTAGCTGATTGCAACACTCGTAAGAAAGCTAATTATGATATTAACTTCCATCATGCCCCTAAAGACATTTGTATCAAGAGCTGAATAGCTCCTATGTTACCTGCCACTTCTACTACACCAGCAATGTTAGGCTACAAGCTAGCGTGAAGAGGAGTGTGCAGAGCAGCGCTGTCTCCGACCACGACTCGGAGGTGAATTGCTAATGAGCTACTGGAGCTCTGCAGAAGAAAAGCCCTTGAAAATGACACCGATAATGTGATTTTGGCTAAAAACGTCATAATCACAATTTGAAGACCAATATGAGAACACTTTAAGTAGAAAAAAAATCGATCTGAGTAGGACTTTAAACATCTTTAGGTGGCTTGTTGTCTCACTCCAATCTTTTCATTGAAATAACCCTGACTGACTGTGTAGGCCCTGTAACATGAGTAGAAAACATCAGGGAGATCACTAAAGATGTCTAATAAACTCAAACATCTGCAGCTATAACCAGAATTATACATCAGAAACATCTTAGTCACTCTGGTTGCTAACATCATTTTTGGCATCGTACTCTTCTGCATGCATCCCTGATAGTAGTGAATGCTTGAGTCTGAATCCAAGTCCTGAAAGTCAGAACAGAAGACAGTTTGCCTTGATTTCTTCACCCTTTTTGTCCTCCAACATGTTAATTCTGTAAAGAGCTGAAGTAATTTCACTTTAGAGCACTTAACACAAAAGAAAACATGATGAGAGGCAAGCAAAACCAAACCAATCAATCACACTCCAAACCAAAACACACGCCAACACACTCGGGTGTGAATTGAATCTCAATCACTGTTCAAGTCATTTTAAAAACAAACCAGCATTTTCAGTGATGCTTTAGTAGGTTAGTTTAATCCGAAGACTTGAAAACTGTTTTGTTTGGAACCACGTCAAAGAAAGCATCTTGTAAATCTTTATATGTGTCCTGTTGGATATTGAAGCCTGCGACTGACCTGACCTGTTCATATATATGAATTCACATAAATTCTGCACTTACTTGCTGATATAAAGTGGGTCTCAAGTCCCACTTTCATTAACCGATTCTGTGCAGTGTTTGTCTGTGTGCTCCCCTCTCTGTGTGACCTTTCACTGCCTCTGTGGAATCTAAATATATGAACGACATCTGGCTGCTGGAGCATCATGGGTGACTTTCATCTGCAGCCAGTGGCCGTCATTACTGTAGGTTTTGTTTGGAGCTCTCATTCATTTTTAGAGAGAGAGAGAGAGAGAGAGAGAGAGAGAGAGAGTGTTCTGGTTTTGATGACATGAGCTGTAACTGCACTCTGCTGCCCCCTGTTGAAAAAGCTGCCCTGCGTGTTGTGTTTACATTCTGACTGTGTGGACTGCCATGTGCTTTGGGTGGATTAAATGACACCATGAGAGGAGCGTGCATTTGATCGAGTTGGAAGAGCTCACAAATCTCTTAAAAAGGTTTTAAAATCACAATGTGCAGAAAGAAACAGACTTCTGATTCATAAAAACGGGTTATGCTTTTCATATCGTTCATGCAAAAGTATCCTATAATGGCATTTTCGATGTGTGTTTCCACTCAAAGTCGTATGGGGTGATACGGTTGTCTTGCTCTCATCATTTTTAGTGCGCAGGGAGCAGAATAGTACATTTTGTAGCCTGAGCACCTCCTGTGTACAGTTTCATGTTCCTAATGGAGCTGTAAACCTCTGCAGCATGAGAAAATATAAAAACAAGAGGATTTACTTCATACGTTTGTCTCATTTTGACTGAATCCTGACATGATTGGATGTATTTGCACTGTTCATATCCCCCAGAGCAATGGTAGTAGCGCTGCTGTATGGAACAAAGGGCCTCTACTCCCTCCTGGCGCATAAGGGGTTAAAGTATGTGAACGCCCGAGTTGTCGTTGATGGTCCTCGCGCACAATGATTAACGATATTGATTCACAAAACCTGCAGAATTGTAATGTTTTAGTACCAAGAGGGGGAACAAAGAGCGGAGCTATCCTGCTCTAATTGATTGGTGCTCGCGCTGAAGTAATTTCATTAACTACAGCACACGGCTTTGTGCGCCAAATTATTCCGCTGCGCACTTACCCAAATCATTAACTATTAACTACTTTTTGTGAAAACGTCTGAATCCCTGAATGGCACAGCGATGATTGATGTGAACAAAGCGCCAGCCTGCAGGAAAACAAGTCTGTCCAAATGTGGCTTTGAAGAAAAGGAGCCTCCTTTCAACCTGATCAGAAACTTGGTTTTGAAGGGAGAGCGCCCCGCCCTCCTACTCCTTATAACCAGAAAGCCTGTTTGCTGGACGCTCAAACACAACAGGAACACTGGAGACCACTTCGCCTTGCATGTACCGTTCCTGGAGACCAACTCTGGCTACAACGACTTTACGGATTACTCTGGTTGTTTCACCTTTTGACCGCGAGCGAACGACCAGAAGAGACCATGGATTTTCTCAATCACAACTATTTGAACGCGCGCAGCCCTTACGACTATACTTTTAATTTCTGGAACGACTATCTCGGGCTGACGACGTTGGTCACGAAGAATAATAAGCTCAGCATGCCCCAGAACCCGAACTCCATCACAGAGTCCCTGAAAGCGACCCTGGGTTTGGACGATTCTCCCCCGTGTCCGTGCGTAATCGCGGGCGGCGTTGTTGGAGAAAGCGGGCACATGGACTGCTGCTGCCCGTCCGGGAGCCCCCCTCCGGCCTCCATCCTGGACTTGAAGGAGCGTTTCTCTATACTGAGCCCCTTCCAGAACCAGCTCGGGGTCCAACCGGAGCGGGAGGTGGGCTTTGGGGGGAGCTTCGCGGGGTTCGATCTGTTCGGCATGGAGAGGAAGATGCGTAAACCCGCTTCCAGGAGCAAGCAGGAGCCCAAAATCTGCGTCTTCTGCCGAAATAACGGAGCGCCGGAGGAGGTGTACGGCTCCCACGTCCTGAAGACCCCGGATGGCAGGGTTGTGTGCCCGATTCTGAGGGCTTACACCTGCCCCCTCTGCAGTGCCAACGGGGACAATGCCCACACGATAAAATACTGTCCTCTGTCTAAAGACCAGCCATCCCAGCGACCATTAAAGGGAGGCAGGGCTGTGGGTGGTAAGAGGATGAAAATATTCTAAACAAACCTGACTATAAAGTAAAACGAATTGCACTGAACAATTTCCAGATGACTGTTTTGATTTAGCCTTTATCCCAGTTACATAAACATATTGATTTATCTTTTTTTCCTCTAAGATCTCTTATATTTTTATAGTTCTTTTATCCACATAGAATAATTTTATGCTTTATACATTGGATTTATTTTTCTTGCTAGTTTGTAGTCATTTGAGTGTGTGCATATAAATATACATGTATCAATAATCACGAAGTGTGAATAAATTTAAAGACAAAGTATTTTGGTCATGTAGGGAAACACACTGACATTGGCAAAGGGGATGAATGTCATATTTCTACCAAGTATTTTTGTATGGGGAGCTAAGCTCGCCACGATTTTTCTTTCTTCTCGTCTTAGAAAACCAAAGTTATGTTTGCCATTAAAGAAGCTCAAGAATGTGTCATTACTGAGTACTTGTGTGCGTCTGCCTGGAGAGGAGGAGAGACTCTTTGATCCCATCTGCCCGCCTGAAAAACTCCACAGCATATTTTCCAACTTGCTCTAAAAGTTGACATTCAATCTGCAAGGCAGGAAGAAAAAAAAAAAGACAATGTGGCCTCTGTTTGGAGCTCAGATTCTCCAGGGAACATTATAATCAATTGTTGCCAAGCCAAACCTCTTTTCCAATCTTACGTTGTCTGACTTTACGAGCAGTCACAGACACTAGCCTTCATTTCTTTATGTTTACATTCCCAACTAAGGGCGACACACTGGATTTCTTGTCTCTGTCAGGTCTCCTTTTCTCTTCTTTTTGTTTGAATTTGCCCTGACAATGTATCCACCAGAGAGGCTCATGGGCAGAGCGTCCATGTCCCTCTCCCTCTGAGAGCAAATGAATGTTAACAAACCGCAGCAACAACCTGTTCAATCCCATCGTTTCTTTTTCTGAAGAATCCAAAAAAAGATGCAAAAATGTCGTGAATGTATGATTGAAAGTGTCACTTGCAGGACTGCACATTTCTGACAGTTTTGTTTACCAAAGGAATACAATAGCATTGAAGAGAAGAAGAAGAAGAAGTAGAGAGATTTGCTGTATTGTACATAAAGTGATGTTTATTCAGTATTTTAACATTACAAGTGACTTCAGAGGGCGCTACCTCAACAGGATTTTGTACTGAACATGTAAAATGTCAACAGCAGTTTATTGATATAGTGCTGCCATTTATAATAAGGGTTTTTGATAGTATTTTTGATCTTTGTATAACATAATTGTATTTTCATTTTGTTGCATTTAACATGATGGAAGTGAATTTCCAAGAAGCTATAAGCATTGCTCACCACAAGGTGATTGTCTGTAAATAATGATTATGATACCCATACTTTGGAAACTTTAGTTGTTCAATGTTACATTCTTGAGAGTGTGTGCCAGAGAGTGCATATTTGAAAAGGCTGAAAAAAATGTGCCACTTTTAACAGAGGTTTTTTTTTTTTTTGATTAAATGAATAATAGAAAAAAAAGAAACACTGTTGAACTTTGTTATTTATATTTTACCACAATTTCCTGTATGCTGCTGTGCAGAATAACAACATATGAATCCACTAGAGAAATAAAAACTTATCAAATATTTGCATCTATGTGGTCATGTTCTTGGTTTGTTGTACTGACATCAAACTAATTTGGATTAAATCAGCTTCATTATGCCAGTAGCGACAATTTCAAAACAGATGAAACATTGATATTGAACGAAAACTAAGATACAGTGATGCTGAGCTCATTTAATATAAAGTCTATGAATACTAGGGGGCAGTAGTGATACCTCCATGATGTTTGCAGAGGGGAAATGAAGAAGAAGCAGCAGCAGCAGGATCTAACTGTAACAATCCTCAGAAAGATGCTTAGACTCTTATTGTGAAAAACCAATAGACAAGTAAACAAATAAAAAAAGTGTAATCAGGTGACCTAACAGAATCAACATTTACACTTGAGCAGTCTTTACTCCATAAACTGAATTTTAAAACAACAACAACCTATGAGAAGTAGCTTGTACTTCATTTCAAAATAAAAGCATGGTTTAACCATACATTACATAAAGTAACCCAACTGCACACAGTAAAAATGTCAAAATAAAAGCACCACAAACCATCATTTTCTCCTCTCTAAAGATTCTCTGGAGCAGACGATGTGGTAAAAACAGACTTTTAAACATAACTATGAATTTATGATAAGAAGATATATATTAGTTGATTAAATTTACTGGCAACGTTTAGTAGCACGTCCCATTCAGGTGATAATGTGAAATTACAAAAGCACTAATTTGGAATAAACACCCTCCTTAAACACAGAAGAGTCTAGTATATCTGATTTTCTGACCAACAGGATCATTTTCAGCAGTACTGTATGTGGATCATGAGCCCTCATGAAGACAGAAAAACTCTGGAGAGGAAACAATTTGGATTTACTACAAATCTGAAAGAAGAGCTTTTAATTCACCAGATGGTGCTAATAAATCCAACATTAAGACTGTCTGTTCTTTCAGCTTTATATTCCTCCATAACTTAATTTCTATAATTTACAATCTACTTCAGTGAGAAAGTAAATCATTTCAAAATAAAAGCATATTTTTACACCAAGGGGAATAAGGCAGCCCAAATGAAACACAGAGAATGTGTTCTGTTCTTTCTGCTGTATCAGTTACATAACCTCATTTCCAAAACTCACAATATGCTGGAAGTTGTGTTTCAGTCCTTTCAAAATAAAGGCATAGTTCTTATGATATGAGAAATAAATCAGCCAGTGAAAATGTCAAAATAAAAGCACCACGAATATTCATTTTATGACTCCTTATCTCTGTTTCTGAAGCTGTCGGTGTGAATAAAGTGACTTTTGAACATTACTAGCGATTTATGATGACATTAAGTGAGTCATTTACATTCAGTAACATTTCCCTCCATCCTTTTCTTACTTTTCTTAACTTAAGTGATTGTGTTGTTTATTCCCCTCAAATTTTCCACAAATACCTTAATAATATTGTTATTGTGAACTTTAAGCTGATTCTGAAGTGAAAATGTGATATTATTTTAGCCCTAAATTGGAATAAAACCTCTGTCTTGTACACTAAAGAGTCTAACATGACGGATTTACCGAGTGGGTAATTTGCAGTAATGCCAGTTGAAAAAACACATTCACAGGAATGTCCTCTCTGCTCTTTCAGCCTGCTAGCTGCCCCACTGATGTAACACACTAACTGTATGTGGATCATGTGAAAGACTTGAGCCCTCATGCACACAAAAACCCTCAGAGGAGGAAACCAAACTTCCCCTAATCTTTGTTTTTGAAAGTCAAAGAGATCTGCTGCTCCGGCATCTTACAGATTTGTCTTTAAAGGACAAACACAGTGCGGCTGTTGTTCGTCTGTGTCGTTGTTTAGGGAGGTCTGCCCACACAAGAATGTCTTGGCTTCTGCCTCACCATTCAAACGGATCATGTTTGCACTGAAGTGGATTGAATAGCTGGGCCCTTCTCTCTCCGCCTGCCATCTGTGGAATGGCTGCTGCAGACATATTAAGGGGCTCAGAAGAGGCAGGAAGCTTTGCTGCTGCTGCTGCTTCTTGTTTTTTTAGGAGAAGATAGATCTGTACACTGTTGTGCAGCTGTGACGGCTTATGAGTTGGTTTCTTGCAAATGTCCCGTCAATGAGGGAACGATAAATAAAGCCAAGTCCATGAAAGGCTTCACTGTCTGCGGCCTGATTCACCAACAAAACAACCTCAGATGTTGGTAATTGCTGCTGACGCTGAGCATACAGTAGAAAAACAAGTAGACTGCTGGTGTCATCCACACCTTTAGCCCCCCACCTTCCCTCTCTCCCTCCCTCCTTCTGTCTTAGCGCCTCTCTCCAGCTGAGGCTGCAGCATTAAAAATGGATGACTACTAAGTGCAACAGGGATTTATCTCTGTGAGAACAGTGGTGAAAAAAAAAAAAAAAAAAAACTGACAGGCTAGCATTTCATGCAAACACAGTCAGCTAACAGGTCTTATTCCCTCTGAGCCGCAGCCTCCATTAGCCGCTCTGCACACTGCGCCCAGCTAATCTATTTAGCAGCACCATTTATGAGATATGTATCTTTCATGATCATATAATATGTCTTAGCTGGCTGGTTTCTGCAGCTAATATACAATCTGTGTGCACAACAAATCTCTGCAGAGCTAAATGGACGGAGGAAGGTAAGGCAGGTTTGTCCAAGACAACGCGGGGTGAGAAAAAATACGATGATGTTTCCTCCTGTATGTATTTAGAAAATAACAGGTGTTGGTGGAAATTGTTTTAATTAAAAGTAGTGTTATCGGTCAGGTGTTGACTCAGAGTCATTATCACCATGAATCCCCTCCGGCGGCTGATTGAGAATGAGCTTTAGTAGTTAGTCTTTGCCGTTAATGTGATTTAGACGATTCATTAATTCACACTGCTCAACATTACGCCGAGGACAGACTATGTTTCCTGTTTAAAGTGCTGTAGATAACCGAGCAGTAGATCACTCGTTCCTGACCACTTCATCTCAATCAGTGATGCTCAGCTGCTCCTTTACGTTCCCCTTTGGTTAGACTGAAAACCTTCATGGTTTCGCTCCATAAAATTCCTCTGTGGTTGATCTGTGATTGCCCCTGTGAGTCCATTTGTGATCCTTTTACCCAGGAGTTGTTTTTGTTTGTGCTTGTATCATGTTGGAGTAGACCACCTATGCTGTTTGCTATACTTAACTTTAACTCTTAAGCTTATTTAAAGGTATTTCTCATGCTCTCCAAGACGCAAAACTTGAGTGCACAGCTAGCAGAGAAGAATGGTTGTTGGATTCTTTAGTGCAGACATAACTAATTACACTGTTGGCATACTCCTAGTCTTTGTTATATTAATAATAAAGAGGAAATGACTAAATTAGTTTCATTAATTTTAATATTGTATGGGCGACTGGGTAATGTTTTCCTCTCTGACAGATCATGCTAAGTGTGTGAGTAATTTAAAAGAAGCAACAAATAAACCAAAGCAATATATTAGCATCGTGTGTGTGCAACAGCTTCCCTCTTTAATAGAAGTATTTATTTATGTTAACTATTGAATTAGGATTCATTTTTTCCATGTTCGCAAGGGACCGCCACAATATCGCTCTGCAGCCAGAGGTGTGTCCAGAAGGGATGACAAAAGGTGCCACAGGCCTCCTTAAAATCTAATTGACCACCCTAAGTGTGAGTCTTGTCTGCAGGAGCTCTTCGTACCGAGATGTATCTGGCTTCTAGTAGTGATCTTCCATTCAAATGTAGTAGATTCTCATGCATTAGTATTAAAATTGTAGGTGATAAGTTTGGATGTATATAGAAGAATCGGTCACCAAAAACACAATGAAATTACTGCACGCTGTCAACTGTCAAAAAATAGAGCATAGTGCTAGTTCAGGCAGGCCAAAGTGTCAAACCTGGACTACAGCACATCAACAGTACAACAACATCCAATAGACGAATGTCAAAATGAATGCTCAATTCGACTCGACCTGCTTCACAAAACCGCCTTCACTTCAGCTCCTCCTTTTCATTCTGTGTCTGATTTTACTTGTGTCATATGAGTCGTCGCTGACGCCTGCTCAGAGTCATACTGTCAAATAGTACTTTGCATATAATGCCAAATTGCTTGCATAAAAGTATTCTCTTTAATGAGTGAGGTCCTAACTATCATACATCTGCTGGATATACTTGTAAATACAACGTCTTCTACATTACCAATCAAAGTAGACATGATTTTCTGGAGATAAAAATGATTCATGATAATTTAGGGGAGGCACAGCGGTGTAGTGGTTAGCACTGTTGCCTCACGGTTAGAAGGTCCTATGTTCGAATCCAGGTCAGGACGTTTCTGTGTGGTTCTCCCTGTGTCTGCGTGGGTTTACTCCTGGTACTCCGATTTCCTCCCACATCCCAAAAACATGCAGAAGTGCGGTCAGAAGTTAGATCACTTCAAATTGCCCATAGGTGTGAATGTGAGCGTGGATGGTCGTTCGTCTCTATATGTCAGCCCTGCGATGAACTGGTGACTTGTCCAGTGTGTCCCCTGCCTTCGCCTGAAGATGCTGGGATAGACTCCAGCCCCCCTTTAACCCCCAATGGTAAAAAGTGGTAGAAAATGGTTGGATAATGGAATGGATGGATGGCCCCAGTCAAAAAAAAAGGCTGTACATGCCCCTGTTTTTACCGCCTGGCATTTCCATTGCAAAAGTGTCCTGATGGTACAGCTGCCCCCGGGTTCAGAATTGGTAAAAATATCACTATTATAGTCCAACCTGGCGTCTATTTGTGTCTTTTTATATCATCTGCTGACATCAGGCAGTCTAATTTTAGATTTAGGGCCTGTGCCCACTCACAGCTTTTGCACCGGCAGCACCTACTTTCTATCAAAATCCAGTGCAGCTCAGCATTTTCAACTCAGGCATTTTCAGCAGCTACCCACAAAAGACAAATACAGGTATGGTTGTTACTGGTATGTTCACACTCTGCTACTGTACTATTGGATAATCCATTTCTACCAAGCCTGTTCTGGTTAATGCTGCGCCTTTAACATTTTCAGCAAATAATAATCTTACAGAGTCATTTAAAACAGATGTCATAATCACCTCTGAGAGAAGTAGAAGCATCTTCAAAACCCAGCTACAGTAAGGACCACTGAAAGCCTCGCTGAAACCGAGGCTGTTTGCACTGCTGTTGATGGACACATGCCCTTAAACATCCAAATCTCCATGTTTCCCCTCATGGTACATTCTGCAGCCCTGAAATGTCTTAATCAAACACTAAGAATGAAAGTTAAAGAGATGGGGGTTTCATTTATGGGTCCCGTCGGTTCACACAGACTCCTCTTTGTTTTCACACTCATAGCCTCTTTTTTGCTGAATGCATGCTGCAGAAATGACTCTGCATTTGTAAAATATTTTCTCTCTTTCATCAAAATCTAGAAATGCCTTTGCTCAAATGTTCAAATCTCAGCACCGTCTAATCAAGGTCTGCTAAATTCTTGTATGTTGTCCTTCTCTTTCTTTGGCCCTGACATGACAACGGAGTAAAAGCCACAAATTGAGCCACACATCTGCAGAATTATTTATTAGTCCCTTCATTTCCCACAATCCACTTGTAATGAGGATGCTCCTGTTGCCTGGCAACCCCCAGGAGTTAAAATTATACAGCAGCTGAGCATGAAAGTCATCCCATAAAGAGGATACCATCTTTAGCCCTCACATTTCATGGTTACTGGAACATTTGGTGCAAGCCTTATGATTTTATATTTGGATGATAAGCACCCTGGCTTTTCTGTTTTCAACACAACACTGCCCCCTGTGGCGATGAAAGGCATTACAAAAACAATCATACCTGTTTATGACACCTCCCATCCTCAGTGTTATTTGAAGGCTCTCATGTGGAAGGAATCATAATGACGAGTGTGTTGTTATTGAACTCCCCGTCAGCTCCACGGCCCTGACCATCCACCAGGCTCTGCAATAACCACCCTG